CCTGGCAGGCGAGTATGCAGCATGTCTTAGTTATCAACTGAAGCTCCTTCGCCAAGACCTCCGTGCCAGGCAGGAGCAGTGGGCCTCTTTCTGCTCAGCGCTGATGGCAGCTCGGCGGCTGCTGAAGGCACAGACAAGCTCCAGGCCCGAGAAGTCCTCCCAGGCTGCGCAGAGCCCCGAAGGGTATGTACTCGGTGAGATCTGCACTAGGGGGAGGAATGAGTGTGGTTTCATGGGGTCCTGGAACTGGCCACATCAGTGTGTCCTTTTCCCATTCCTAATTGCCTCTTTTCCTGATGAGCCCTGCCCCATGCCCCTGCAGGGAAGTCCCGCAGCTGGATGCTGTGCTGGGCCACCTGTCCTGGGTCCTGCTGCAGGAGGGCCACCGCCTGAAGGCCTGGGGCATCCTGGGCACAGGCACGGGGGCAGAGCTGCTGCGGCCAGGTGAGCCCTGCTCAGTCTCAGCCAGGGCTCCCAGGAAACCTGGCCCTGCACTCAGAGTGACAGGCCGCCGCGCAGAACCTGGAGTTCCACCCCCAAGACACTCTGCAGGGCAGGAAGGGAGGAGGGGGACAAAACAAAGTGGAAACCCCCAAGGCTGGGAGGGGCTTCCTGTGCAGTGCTCTGCGCAAGTGTCTGTGTGACAGAAGAAGGAGCTTCAAAAATGGGAAGAACAGAGAAGGAAACAAACAAAACCACCACAAATTACACCTTTATGTATAAGGTAGCACTTCCTGAGAGCAAAAGCCTGTCAGATGAGTGCAAAAGGCCAACTATGGAAAATGCTGGGCTTGCCTGGAAAGGAAGAGTGGGAGGAAGATCCACTTGGGAACCCCGTGGGGCGTGCTGAGTTCTGGGACTCTCCTAGTCCCATCTGATCACCCCATGGGCTGTCACCACCATCTCGCAAGGCTTTTCCAGTTACTGCCGGCCTGCAATATAATGATGTCAAAGTGTCACATTTTGAATGGGGAGTCTTGCCCTGGACTCAGCAAAAGATGAAATCCCCTGCCCTCAGGAAACACCTGCTGGGAAGGGGGGGCGGTTTGGTGGGCTTCCTGACAACTCCTCCCAGTCACCAGCCACGGGGGTCCCTTGCCTTCCTTTTTGGCCTCAGACCCTGGGCTGAGCAGGCATTTGCTTTCTTGCAGCCTCAACAGGCCCTGAAAGGGACACTGATGACATCAGTGTGAATCCCATCACCAAGTTAATGGTCCCTGGCCCCAACTGTGCGATGCTTCCAGCCAGTGGCCACGCAGGGTCCATACCCCATGGCTACTTCATCCACCCTGACACTGGACGGGTGCTGCCTGAGGCTGGAAATCTGGGATATGATCTGCAGGGAGCCACCCTGGTGCCTACCACTGACTTCAGTTCCGGTGAGACCCTGACCGCTAAGTAGCCCCAGCCCAGCCCCAGGCTCAATGGGACCCTCTGGAATGAACCCCCAGGGGCACAGCACAGGGAGGAAGGGCTCTCTCTTTGCATCTTTGCAGGGGGTGGGGGGGACGGAGAGGGGGCTTGATGACCAGCAGAGCAGTAACTATTTTCTCCCCACTCCCTCACTTGAACATTCTTGCTGCAGAGGGCGCCATGTTAGAGGGAGCGGCTAAATGAAAGAAAGCAAGTGCTGAGAGCCACTCTGCTCTGCTCCTGCTCTGCAGAGCTAGGGAGGGAGAGTGGTGTGTCGGGGGTACCAATGCCTCCCTGTCTATCCATCCAGGTGGCATCCGAACATCAGAAGCTGCCATCCTCCCCTATGTGCCCTTTCCAACCTGTCCTGCCACAGGGTCCCCTCCAGCCACCCGCCTGCCCATCCTGCAGCCAAGAAGGACATCACAGCTGGGGGCTCTCATGACGGACCCCATTACTGGCATCGAGGTGCCTGTGCTCGCTGTGACTCTACACCCCCAAACAAGGCAGTGGCTCACTCTTGGGGGCACATATTGCAATCCCCTCACCAAGACCTTGGCCCCTATAGAGTTGGGGAGCCCCATGGAGGATCCAGTCACAGGAGGCATCTCACCAATTCTGGGAGTCGGGTTGGACGAAAACACAGGTCTCCTGGCAGCCCTCAGTGCTGTCCTTCAACCTCTCCTCCCTGCCCGGCCTGGCTTCCCAATCCCCACCCCCACCCCCAGTCCCCTAGACCCTCCGTGTTTTGGTCCAGACTGCAAACTCCACCCCAGCCAGTCTTTCCACACACCACCCTCACTCTGCCTCTTACCCCCACCTTCCCTCTCCTTCCCAGCTCCCCTCACCCTTTCCCCATCCCCTGCAGAGTGCTCCAGGGAGGAGAAAGAGAACTGAGCTGACTCTGCAGTGAAAGTAAATGGATGGTTTCAACCAACAAGGGGCATCATTCCCCCTCCTGCCACCACCATGCCCTCTCCCTCACCCCTTACTCTCCCCCAACCTGTAGCTTCCAATCCCCCGCCCCTGTCACTCATTCTGCCCGCAGGCCCTGGTCCTCGCTCACTTTACCTGTCTGCGTCTCTGTTGCATCCTTTTTCTACCTCACCCTCTTGGGTTCCCACTTTCAGGTCAGGTGCTGGCACTGGGAGGGCTGCGAGATGCCTCAGGGAACCTCATGCTGCCTGGTGACAGCTTTGTGGAGCCACTGAGCAGAAAGACAGTCCGGCTCCAGGGTGCTTCCCGACAGGAGGGCCGGACAGTGCCCCACATGGGAGGGTCACAGGCCCTGCTGGACGCCAATGTGCTGGTGGCCCAGAGGCGAGTGATTGCAGTGCTCCGGCAGTGCCAGCAGAGGCCAGCATCAAGGGTACAGAAGCTTCTGGAGGCTGCCATCAAGGACATGAGACACACACTGGCCTTGAGTCTATACCATGGCCTGCAGCAGGCTCGGAGACTGGAGCGACAGCTAGAGGCAGCACATGGCATCGAGGCCAGTGGTGGCAGGATAGGTACACGTTGACCTAACTCTCAGGCCCTGAAACCCCAGGCCCAGTGGTGCTTTAGTGATCCTCAGCCTGTAAGCTCAGGGACAGGACTGCAGCCCTGCTGCACACCCATAACCCACACAAGGAAAGAAAGAAGGAATTCAATGACTTCATGCCCTGACCCCATGAATGCTTGGCTGCATCCCCGTCTTTCAAACTCTTGACAATTCCATCGGGTCTTAACACTTTATGTTTATAAGTTATGTATGCTCTTATTTTATAGGCTCCCCAAACACCATAACATTCTCCATTGGGGAGTCTGAACTTCAGGAGGTTATGTGACTTGCCCAACCAGGGTCCCCATAGCTAGTTACAGCACAGCCAGGCCTAATGCCTGAGACTCCTGAGTCCTCAACACTCTTCTCGCTTTTATTCCTGCAACAGCCTTCAAATTCCCATTAACAAACTTAGGAGAGGAGCCTACCCAAAGCCCCTAGGCATCCCCCCGCCCCCCGCCCCAGCACTAATACAAGGAAGGGCCGGGACAGGAAGTAGGAAAGGAATCTTCCCAGAGCTTACCTCAGTTGCTCTTTCTAGAAACATCTTTCTGCCATGGTTTGACAAAAAAAGAGCCAGACTTTGGGTCAGACTTGAGTTTGAAGACCTGCCCCACCATCTATTAAATCTTTAACCTTGGACAATCTACTAAACCTCACTCTGCCTCTGTTTTGGCATCTTTAAAATGAGGATCGATATAGTACATACTTCAGAGATTTAGTTGTGAGAACAAAGAAAATGTAACTTATATGGAGTTCTTAGCTCAGGTTCTGATCATGGTAGGTGCTCAGCAGTGTTTGTCCTCTTCTCGTCTACCTCTTCAGTGTGGCCTAGAAATTGTTCCCAGCTTCCCAAATGTCCTGATGTCACTCAGTTCTTCCCTTCTCAATTCAAACTGCTAAGCTTGGCCCCAAAGGAAACAAATGCAATCTTTGCAGGAAGCATCTCTGGTCAGGGATGTAGCCCTTTGAACCCGGACAGACCCTCAGTGTGGCACTTAACCCTCATCTCCTCCTCTCTGTATTCCCACCCCCTTCTGTTAGGAATGATGTGCTATCCTGGGACAGAACTGTGGGTCCCTGTCCTCTATGGGATGGAGATCCCAGACCCTGAGGGCTCAGGCCTCACGGTGCCCATCCTGGGCATGGAGAGTGATGGGAAGGCTGCTGATGCCATACCCCTGGCAGGTTCGATGGAAGATGCCAACGGCAAAGGTAGGCGGGAACTTGGGGCCCCTGAAAGCCCCAGGAATGTGACTTAGCCCTGGGAGAGAAAACCCTGTAAATCTCAGGAGGGGTACCCCCAGTTCATTCGCTCATGAAGCAAGGAATGGGGTCATTCTGATGCTCCTGCTAGGGCTACTGAGACCCAAAATTAAGGTGCTCAGATATTCCAGAACCCCAAAACCACCAGTTATTAACCCCTCACTGATAAAATTTGGTCCTTTCAAAGACTAGTGCTTCAGAAACTCACCACCTACCCCCACCCTCAGGGTCTGCGGCCACCAGAAAGTCCTCCAACCCAGTGCAGCTTCTCAAAGAATTAAAGGGGTTCTCAGGGCTTCTTTAGCTCCTGTCCAGCTGTGTTTCTTGCTTCCCGTGACTGCCCTTCCTTCTTGCCCCCATCATTGGTTACTAAAGCCAGTGTTGGGATTGGCACCCCACAGGTCTTGTCCCAATCTCGATTGGGGCTCAAGCCATAGACCCCTTGACTGGGAAGCCTGGTCCTGTCATTGGTGCTGAAACGGACCCCTCTAGCAGAGTGGTGGTGCCCATTGTCCAGGCGCTGGAGGCCCTGCCTCGGGGAGTGAGAGACCACGGGCTGGTATGTGAGAGAAGTTTGTTCTACTCACTTCTTCATTCACTCAGCAACTACATCAAGAGAACCTTCTATGTTCTAGGCACTGTGTTAGGAGCTGAGATGGAAAGGCAGCTAGACAGGGCTGCTGTTGTCAGGGAATCGGCCAGCCATGGGTTCCTTCCTTGATTGTGGTTTACAAGCACAGACAAGGGCCATCTAGACCACATGGAGGGGAGTTCAAGGAAGGCTTTCCTAAAGAGGAAACACCTAGGCTGAAACATCAAGAAGCATCAGGAAAAGGCCTCAGGGCCAGCAAGCGCCAAGGTGGCAGGCGTGAGACCACAGATGTCCTAGGAGAATGAGGAAGGTGCAGGGGCAAAGGCAGCAGGTGATTCCAATGAGGAACGCAGGCAACAAATCAGGAACAGCCTTGTGTGCTTGGCTGAGGCCCAGAAATGTGACTTTTATCATGAAAGCAGTGGGGAGCCACTGAAGGATTCTAAGTAGGTATGTTATATGATCAGATACGAATATTTTTAAAACTTTTAAATTTGAAAAACATGTAACAATACAAATAGGAAATAATTATTCATAATCCTATTACATTTTAAGTATGTAAATGAAGCAGCAGACACTCCCTCCTCCCCCTTCCTCACTCCATCTGCCCCCGACCCACCGTGCTCTCCTATCCAGACACTACTCACTCGCCTCTCGCCTCTCCCCAAACGCAGCCTCTATTAACAGGTTGGCACACCTCACAGACATTTTTATTCTTATGTATGTGTATATATAATCAGCATTCTAGAAAGTTCGCTCTGGCAGCAGTGCAGAGGATAGATGGGAGCAGCGCCAGACTGAAGCCGAAAGCTCTGTCAAGAGGTTATTAGAGTAATTCAGCCCTGGGCACAGCTCTATGAAATGAAAATGATTTAGTGTCCTCTCATACCTTCTCAGACGAGTTACAGTTTCAAAAACAAAGATGGAGATGTTATAAAAGATTGTCGTTCGGAACCAAGAAATTTAATTTCTAGCCCAACTCACAGTTTCACAGATGAGTATGAAGGGGAGATATGAGCGGGCGAGAACGACTTCCCCCTGCTATGTGCCAGTCTCCCCTGGCCTCCCAGGAAAAAAAGGTGGGAAGGAAGTCGGAGGATAGGTGACTCTGGAGAGTCTAGGTGTTAGAAGGAGCGGGGGAGGGACTGGGCGCTTGAAGAAGGTGAATGGTTATCATGTTTCCATGTACAAACAAGTCAACTGTCTCACCAAGCTTAGTCATGGATACCCAGAGGTGGGGGAGGCCAATGTCATGAGGAGCTTTGGGATCTTCAGCCAGACCATGTGGGGCTGCAAGGGGAAATAGCGTATGAGCCCTAAACAAGCTGAATGCGGTAGCTGGATGCCCTGGAGAGCGAGCTAAGAGCCCGGGAGTGGTACTGGCATCACCAGGAGCAGGAAGAGGTGCGGCTGGCAGAACACCTGGGAGACCTGAACCAGGAGCTCCTCTCCACTCTGGGCAAAGACGCCAGGCAGCAGGTGAGACCCAGAAATACTCTCTCACAGCCCACACCCACCTGTCAGCCCAGACTGCACAGGTTTCCCCTGGCAGTGGGGAGCCCTTGCCTCCCCCTGACCACATAAATGGAGCCCACCTCAGGGCAGACAAGCCCCAGGGTTCTCCAGCTCCAGGCCCTAGATTTCAGTCCCCCTATGTGTCTCAGCAGGATGGAGGCGGGTTAGAACATGAGGTGGCCCAGCCCAGAGCTCCCGCCTTCCCCTCGCGGCCCATTCCTTTGTGCTTCCTGTCCTGTGTAGTTGAGGGCTGCTGAGGAGGCCTGTGCAGCCCTGGAGTCCCGCTGCCTGCAGGAGACTGAGAGGAGAGCCAGAGCCCTGAGTGCGCAGAATGGCCCAGAAAGGGTCCTACTCTCCCAAGGTGCAAAAGCGTCCCCTGGGCCCAGATCCCCAGGGCAGAAATCTTCTGGGAGTGGTGCCACCACCCACAGCTGCCCTATGGAGTCTCTCCTGCCCTCTGAATGCGCTCATCTCCCAGGCTTCCAGCCAGGCTCCAGCTCTGACCTGGCAGGTTCCCCTGGCTCCAATAAGCCACTGTCTTTTCTTCTCGTCTCTACCCCCAATTGTGGCCACTGCCACGTCACCCTTTTCTCTGCCCCTTGCAGCAGACAGAGAGGAGTGGGAACAGGAGGTACAGGTGGCACTGGGCATGCGGAAAGTTCTGCAGAGTTTAGAACATGCATCAGAAAAGCTCCGACAAGCAGCTGGCCGGCTGCAGAACCAGGAGGAGGAGATGTGGTTACAGAAGAAAAGGAATCAGAGCCCACAGATCTGGAACCGTCCCAGGAAGGTGAGGCTCAGAGGCCAATAAAAAGACCCATGAGGGATGAACACATTCTCCCAGGTCATCAGCTGTGGCTCTTCGGGGCAACGTAATTAATGCTCAGGGATAGGTGGGCCCAAGGAGCAGAGGATGGGCTAAGAAGGGAACAGGAGGAAAGAGAAAGAAGCTCCTTTTTATTTTTTTTTTTATTTTTTTTTCAGCCTACGCCGTCGCTGGCGACTCATGGCAGCCTAGCTCCAGGTGGAGCTGCTGTTCAGCATCTTAGCTGTAGAGGGCAGTGTCACTGGCCCTCATATGTGGGATCCGAACCGGGGCCCTCTGGCGTCCCAAGCCAGCTCCTAACCAACGCGCCACTCGGCCGGCCCAAGAAGCTCCTTTTTAATTTGGGTGTTACGTTTCCTGTGTTCTAGGTGGCTCAGCAACTCTCTGATGAGTTTCAGGCAGTCGTGAGGGAGAGGCAGAGCTTCCTGGATAGGGCCCTCGGTCAGTTGCAGTACCAACGGGAGCTGAGCCGCCTCCAGCTCTTGCACACCCAGGTACTGACCTCTGCCCTCTGGACATGGCCAAGGAGATCTGTATGTCATTCTCGGATGGGAGCTTCAGAGAGGAGCTCCCAAAGAAGCCACGTGAAACAGGTGTGAACCAAACACAGAACTAGGTTCTATTTCATCCTAGATTGTTGCCTCAGGAACCCCTGTGTGTTTGGAGAATTACCCTGGAAACAGATTTTATGGGACAGTCACCACTTCTCTCAGGGATCAGGCTGCTGCCTGCCCACTGTTAATCCCATTCCTGAAGAGCCTCACTGCAGCACCAGTGGGAGCTCAAGGCCATGGCCCAGAATTGCAGGACCGGGGGCCAGAAACAGGTAAGGCTGGTCAAGGGCCAACATTCCCTTCTGCTGCCAATCTTGGTCATGTTTTGATAAGTTCTAATACCACAGTGAGGGCTTCAGGTACCATATGAGTGTGGTCATAGTAGGTTCTTGAAGAAGAACATAGAGAAACTCAACATATTAGTTATACATTGCTGCGTAACAAATTACTTCAAAATTTTGTGGCTTGAAACGACAAATATTTATTAACCTCACAGTTCCTATGGGTTAGGAATCTGGGTACAGTGTAGTGGGGGCCTCTACCTCAGGGTCTCACGAAGGCTACATCAGGGTGTCAGGCCATGGCTGCAGTCATCTCAAGGTTTGAGTGGGGAACCCAAACGCACTCTTGCAGCTATTGGCAGACCTCAAGTCCTCACTGGTTGTTGGCCAGAGACATCAATTTCTTGCCACATGGACTTCATAGAGTAGCTTACAACATGGCAGCTGGCTTCCTTCAGAGCAAGCAAGAGAAAAAAAAAGGAAAACACAGTCTGATTGTATACTGATCTCATCACTTTTGCCATATTCTATTCATTAGAAGCAAATCACTAGATCCAACTCACATTCAAGGGGAGGGGATTACACAAGGGCTTGGATGCACATGGGGGGATCATGGGGTCATCTTAGAGGCTTTCTGTCACACCTGATGCCATGTCTGGCTCTTTTTGACTTTGGCCACAGTTCTATGCCCTTACTTCAACAACTATTTTCGTCCCCTCTGTTCAGATGCAGATAAAGTTGACATCACATGGACCTTACCACTCTTCTCCACTCTAAAGAAAGTAGAGACCTGGTCCCAAGACTATAAGGAGAGAGCTGAACCGCAAGGACAAGTGCATCACAAACCGGGTACTGCTTTACCCTGGTAGACCCCGTTTGAAATTATCATGGCACACTGAAGGTGTTCCATGGTGTAACCCCCAAGGACTAGGAAGGTCAGAATCCTGCCTGGCCAATCATCCTGACCCTGAGATTCCTAAGGGATTTTTCCATACAAGGAATAGCAAATAAAAATCAAAGTCCCACTATAATAATAACTTGGCTAATTCCCAAAAGGAAATTCCTAAAGGCCCTCTATTACCCCACTAAACACAGAATCTAAGTCTTGGGATTTTACCCCATACTGACCAGCCACATCTCACAAGGAGTTAATGGGAAAAAATGTGACACATGGGGAGAAAGATAGAGAAGACAAAGAGAGAGAAGAACTTGCCCCCACCAATAGGGACCCCAGATCACATTACCACCCCTTGGAGCTAGAAGTCAAAAATGAATGTGGCTGGCTTGCTCTGAAGGTCTGTTTCAACTTGCCCACCTCCCAAGTGGAGGGGGATTAACAGAAAATGAGTGCATTCCTTTCAGTTGACCATGATGCAGGCCACTAGTAAGCATAGTTCTACGAACATCCTTGAGCTGAACCCGGGGTCAGCAAACTGTGTCCCACAAGCCAACTCTAGTCTGCTATCTGTTTTTGTATGACCCACAAGCTAAGAATGGTTTTACATTTGTAAATGATCAGAAGGAAAAGGTCAAAAGAAGAATAACATTTTTCTGGAGGGTTGTACAATATGTGCTCTTGTAAATGTTTGGATATGTTAGCTCATTTAATCTTTACAACAAACCAGTGAAGTAGGTACTTACTCATTTTATAGATAAGAAAGTGAAGTTTCTGAATTGGTCAAGTAAATCGTCAAAAATCATACTGCTATTGAGTTGAGCTGGAATTCAATCCCAGGGAGTCTTACCCCAGAGTCCGTGCTCTCAACCTGCTTTCCCATAAGAAAAATTATCCAACACTATAAAGGCTGTGTCAAAGGGAGAGGCAGGCACAGATTCTGGTGAGTTCCAAAAAAAGGCAGATCACTGTGTATCACAGAAGCAAGGGAAGGTTTGTTAGGAGAATGAGGCCACACTTCTACCATGATGATAGGGAACACTAAATTTGAACCCCAATTTTGCCTCTTGGCTGGCAAAGCCTAAAATATTTACTTTCTGGCCCCTTATAGAAAAAGTTTGCTGACCCCAGAACTTAACCAATTCTAGTATTAATTCTGCCTTCCCTTGGGGGAAACTTAGGAGAGTATGGGCAGAGAGGTGGTCCTCCTTTGAGAGTTCCCACCACTACTTCAACCTTCTTTGTCTTACAATTATATTGACTTTATAATATTGAAAGCAATTTTATATACAGTCTTGTTTACACCTGGAAACTCAAACTCTAATTCTGTAAGGTAGTGGAAGATTAACCTATTCTTTTTTTATAAATTAGAGAATTGATGCTCAAAGAAGGTAAGTGGCTTTCCCAGGGTATTACAGAACCTGGCCCAGAACTCGTGTCTTCTGACTGTTAGTTCATCACTCTTTCCTATATCATGCTACCCATGCATTTTGTCACTGACTTCTCAAGAACAAAATGACAACAGAAAATGTTTAAAGAGCCAAGGCCCATTA